CCCTAAAAATATGTACCGTACCAAAGCCGAACAATCCGGTCGCGGGCAAAACCGGTTCGGTTTCCGGGAAGATATAAAAAGAAAAAAAAAGGATTTAGAAAATATAAATATAGAAAAATTATATATTTTTTACAGTGAACGTGATGCGTAAAAAAGATTTAAAACGTTAAAACCTCAAATTAAAATAGGAGACGGTTTATAAAAATTATTTCGCCAATAGTAAATTTTGTACGTATTACAAGTTTAATTTACATTTATAAAGCAATAATTTCTGGCTTCTTTACGTTTGTGTACCGCTAGTACCGTACATTTCACTGAAATTCGTTACAAGACGCATATTTTAATTCGAATTCTACGGAAACGTAATTTCGTAAATATCTCTTTTTTTTCCGTTAATTTCTCGACGAATGTCAAAACCGAAACTTTTTTTCAATCAATTGGATTCTTTTTCTGATCCTAATCAAAACAATAGCGAGATGTTTCCGATAAACCGTTGCCGCTCGCATCCGATCGGTGTTTCGAGCTGCCAAAAATATACTTGTTTTTCACACCGGAGCGATTGTTTCTGTGACGAATTCATCGATTGAGCCATGGAAACATTGTGTAAACCTGGAGATATTCATTGTATCTTCTCACGTAAGCCACTAGGAAGATGTTCTTACCTAGATACACACCGCATTTATATTCCCATCGTCGATTCTATATTCGTCTATTGTTGTAATGCTTTTTGACGATGTATAAATGCTGACAATATATTTCTATTTCCGATAAGATGGAAAATAAGCTAGAAAATAGACGTTAAAACGAGAATAGAGCCTTTCAGAATGGCATTTAAATGCAATGGAACACCGTTCTCCATATTGGAAATTAAATTCGTAAACGTTAATACATACAGTTTTTCCTATTATCGTATGGCATATGGTAATACTAATGAATAAATTTACGATAAGAGAAATTACATCCGACTTATGATACTTCAATAACTTCCGAGATTTAAGGAAAGTGTAGAGCCTAACTATGCAAATCAATTATGATTTTCGTCATTTTCTAATAATAAAAAATATGTAATTTATTGTTAGAAACATATAACAATTTTTATATTATAATAATTTCTATAAAAATAATTAAGAATTTACTTTTTAATATACAAATTAGTAATATCAAAACAATTATATTATATTTTATTTTTTTTATAAATTGTAACTTACGATGGGCATTATATACGAAATCGCCAACTTTTTCAATAGATGTTTACTGTTTAATTTATGAAAGAGTCACTTTAATTTATCCAGCAGACAATCATTTCTCGATTTTGTGTAAGATTGATGGTTATTCGGGTTTGTTCGACCGTTAAAGAGACGAACAAAAACATATTTCTTCGTTTATAACTTTTTATATATATATTGCAGATGTCTTTGACATCAAATATTGATAGAAAATAAAAGATAAAAGTGCAGACATTTCACTTTATAAAATAAAATTTAACGATTTCTATAAATTAAAATCTAATTAACCCAGTCGTTTAAGCATTAAAGATATTAAAAAACGATATCTTTTATCAGTTTTTCATCTTTATATATATATATGTATTTTTATACACATAAATGTATAAGTATTTACTTTATTCTAAAATATAAATTTCGTATGACATGAGAATATTTTTTCATATATAAGATTTTGTAAACAATACTTCAAAATTCAACCAGAAGAAATATATATATATATATTTATACATTTATTTTCTGTGTAAATAATAATATCTTTTCTGGTAGAATCAGAGTGTGCAGGTGAATTTTCTTTCACTATATTTGCAGACTGTCATTGATCATAAAGCTGTAGCAACTTTCATCATGAATGAAATACATAGTAATGTAAGGGAACAGAGAAATGCAATATCAACATTTGTTTGTCGTAAAAAAAAAAATGCATATAAATACACGTGGTATATATTTATTTACATTGTTTCGATTGCTATTTTTAAATCTAAAACATTTACAAATTTTCTGATCAATTTATTTTTAGAATATAAAATTTATTCTTAAAAAAAATTAAGAAAAAAAAACAATTTGAGTCAAAAATTTTGATTTTATTTCTATTTTTTTTTTAAATAAATATTTTATTAATTAAAATAGTAAAGTAGTTATCGTTTCATCTATAAATTAAATAAGTTTTAAAATAAATAAATCCGATTTACTCAAAAAATATTTATAATTGTTTGTAAATATTTATTAAAAAATTACTAAATAAATTTTTGTAACGAATTAAATGTATTATAAAAAATAAATTGAATAAATTTATACAAAAAAAAAAAAAAAA